ATATCTGTATGCAGAAGAATGAAACTAGACCTGTATTTCTCACCATATAAAAAATCAAATCAAAATGGATTAAAGACTTAAACCTAAGTCCTCAAACTGTGAAACTGGAAAAAGTCTCCAGGATACTGGACTGGGCAAAGATTTCTCAAACAATACCCCTCAAGCACAGGCAACCAAAGCAAAAATGGACAAACAAGATCATATCAAGTGAAAAGTCTTCTGCACAGCAAACAAAGTGAAGTAATCAACAAAGTGAAGAGACAACCCACAGAATGGGAGAAAATGTTTGCAAATGACTCATCTGACAAAGGATTAAAAATCGTAAAGAGCTCAAACAACTCTATAGGAAAAAAATCTAATACTCTGATTTTAAAATGAGCAAAAGTTCTGAATAGACATTTCTCAAAAGAAGACGTACAAATGACAAACAGGCATATAAAAAAGTGCCCAACATCATTTATCATCAGAGAAGTGCAAATCAAAACTACAATGAGATATTATCTCACCCCTGTTAAATGGCTTATATCCAAAAGATAGGCAATAACAAACGATAGAGAGGATGTGGAGAAAAGAGAATGCTTGTACAATATTGGTAAGAATGTAATTTGGTACAACCACTATGGAGAACTTTTGGAGGTTCCTCAAAAAACTAAAAATAGAGTTACTATATGATGCAGCAATCCACTACTGGGTATATACCCAAAAGAAAGGAAATCAGTATATCAGTGAGATACCTGCACTGCTATGTTTGTTGCAGCACTGTTTAGCTAAAATTTGGAAGCAATCTAAGTGTCCATCAGCAGATGAATGGATAAAGAAAATGCAGTAGATATTCTCAGTGGAATACTATTTAGCCATAAAAAGTAATGAGATCCCATCATTTGCAACAAGGATAGAACTGGAGATCATTATGTTAAGTGAAATAAGCCAGGCACAGAGAGGCAAATATCACACATTCTCAATTATTTGTGTGATCTAAAAATCAAAACAATTGAACTCATCAATGTACAGAGTAGAAGGATGGTTACCAGAGACTGGGAAGGATAGTGGGGGGCTTGAAGGAGGTAGAGATGGTTTCCAGGTAAAAAAAAAAATGGAAAAAAAAAAGTGAATAAGACCTATTCTTTGATAGCACAACAGGGTGACTATAGTCAATAAAAACTATTTTTTTTTTTCTTGAGACAGAACTGCAGTCTTGTTGCCTGGGCTGGAGTGCAATGGCATGATCTCAGCTCACTGCAATCTCTGCCTCCTGGGTTCGAGCAATTCTCCTGAATCAGCCTCCCAAGCAGCTGCAATTACAGGTGAACGGCACCACACCCAGCTAATTTTTCTATTTTTGGTAAAGAGGGTTTCACCAAAGGGTTTCACCTTCTTGGCCAGGCTGGTCTCAAACTCCTGACCTCAGGGAAACCACCCACCTCAGCTTCCCAAAGTGCTGGGATTACAGGTGTGAGCCACCACGCCCAGCCAATAATAACTTAATTATGCTAACTTAAAGAGTATGTTGAATTCTTTGTAACTCAAAGGATAAATACTTAAAGGAATGAATACTCCATTCTCCATGATTGCTTATTTCACATTGCATGTTTGTACCAAAACATCTCATGTACCTCATAAATAAATATACCGACTATGTACTCACAAAAAATTTCTTTAATTTTTTAAAGACAAAAAAATAGAGACTTCATAAAGATGTTGTATAATAACATAACAGGAAGGTATGAAAAAAGAAAAGTAAAAAATTAAGAAAAAGCACCTGGAAATTAAAAATAAAATAGCCTAAATAAATAAATAGCCAAAGGTAAAATTTCAACATAAAGTTTGGGAGAGAAAGTCAAGATATTCTCAGAAATATAAAAGCTTAAAAACAAGAGGCAAAGCATGAGAAAAAATACAATAATTGATGCTTATTGAGTGCTTATCTTACATCAGTTCTAAGAGTTTTGCATGCATTCATACATTTAATGTTTCACACAGTTTTATGAGATAGGAACTACTCTTATTATAATCAACCCATTTACATATAAGAAAACTGAGGCATGGAGAGATTTAATAACTTGCCCAAGGCAAACAGCTAGCGAATGGATGGCACAGCTAGAATTTGCAACCAGAGCTCTCTGCCCTTTAACCACTGTGCTATACTGCCAGACGAAAAATGAAGGTCGAAGTTCATGCTATCCTGATTGAAAAAATGGAAGAAGGATTCGAAGTACAACTACAAATGTTGCCAAACAATATATTGTAAATGCATTGAATGATACCCTAGAGAAATTCAGCCATAAGAGGTTGTAGTGAGCCAAGATCATGCCACTGCACTCCAGCCTGGGCAACAGAGTGAGACTCCATCTCAAAAAAAAAAAAAAAGAAAAGAAAAGAAATTCAGCCATAAATTTCCAACTGCAAAAGCCAAAACCTTTCATTGAAGATGGCACCACTAAAGAGGATCTACATTATTTAGCAATCTCAAAAATACAAAGCTAGAAACTAAAGCATAAATAACTGGTTGAAAACAATTGATACCTAACAGCTGGATATTCCCGTATTGTAAGTCGCAAAAGTTAAGAGAAAAAAGAGCTTATAAAGTCATCAGAATAATAGTTGGTAAATAACATAATAGATATTGATTTCACCAAGAGAGGGCAATGAATTCATGCTTTGATTTCCTTTTTATGATCCAAATATATGAAAATATGGGATAAAATATGTACAAGGAGAAAATTTGTCATATTCAAAAAAAGATAAACATCTCCATGGAACAGAGCTGCAAAACTGAGAGCCAGGCTGAAGCTGGGGCCGTGGTGGCCAGAAGCTCAGCCCCATAGGAGTTTTTAAAGTTCTATAGATAAGGCAGAATCAGGCTCGCTGCTTAAGGAAGTAGACTGAAAAAAACATAGCCAACTTCGGCTTACAGCTGTTGCAGTGTTTCTCAACTTTTATTTTCATTATTATCCCTCTAAAAAGATACATGTTATTTACATTTTTCCTAGTGAGAGAAATTAAATGCTAAGGAATACAATTTTTAGGAGGTAGGGTTGTGCTTTGAAGGTCCACAAACCATTGTAATATCTAAGATTATTCACCTTCTAAGAATCAAATTTTAACTGGTCAGGAGCAACATTGCCCCTGTGGAGAATGCATACATTATAGCTTAAAAACCTGCAGCCTTGCCACTAAGAACTGAGCCAAACTGTTCCTTGGTCATATGACTGGTTATTGGATACTCTACCATCACTATAGGGCAGGAACTCCAACCAACCAGCAATTAATTTAAAGCCTCATTATAGATTTAGGGTTCTGGAAGACATTGTAAAGGAGAACTGCAAAAAATGTTGAACAGAGAGGCAGATGGGTAGAGATGGGAGAAAGAGAGACAAATGAAAAAACCAAACAAAAAAATGCCTTATTCAAAATTACTGGTAAACCAAAATTTCCAAAAACAAAAATAGGTTGCTACAAAAGAAAGCCAACAAAATTAACAATCATGCATTCACTCTGAAAAATTAATTTTATTGGACAGCTGAACAAAGACTTTAAATTATAAACAGTGAACATTTGCAAAAAAGAGAAAACAAAAGAATACGAAATTCTTCAACAAAAACAGGTTTTAAAATGCCACAAAAATAAGTGAACATTTAAAAGAAACAATTCAAAATTTAGAAAATAATATATATTGATTGACTTTTAAAATTCAAAAATGGGATTGGGCACCATGGCTCACACCTATAATCTCACTACTTTGGGAGGCCGAGGTGGGAGCATCACTTGAAGCCAGGACTTTGAGACCAGCCTGTGCAGCATAGTGAGACTCCATCTATACAAAAAAATTTTTTTAATTAGCCAGACATGGTGGCACGTGCCTGTAGTCCAACAATTGGGAGGCTTAGACAGGAAGATGGCTTGAGTCCAGGAATTTAAGGTTACCATGAGCTATGATCATGCCACTGCATTCCAACCTGGGCAACAGAGAAAGGCCTTGTCTCATAAATAAATAAACAAACAAACAAACAGAACTATACTGTCCTCCCCAACTTTTAGACAGAGATGACAGAGAAAGAGGGAGAGATGATAGACAGATAGATAGAATTTAAATAGCAGTGCATGAAATGTGAAACATAGATTGAGAGATTTAAATATTTTAATGAATAGGATTTCCAAAGAAGAAACTGAAATGAATGATAAGGAATAAATATTTGAAAAACTTGTTGTTGGATGGGTTCATGCCTGTAATCCCAGTACTTTGGGAGGCCGAGGCGGGCAGATCACTTGAGGCCAGAAGTTTGACACCAGCCTGGCCAATATGGCAAAACCCTATTTCTACTAAAAATACAAAAATTAGCTGGGCATGGTGGCACATGCCTATAATCCCAGCTGCTTGGGAGGCTGAGGCATGAGAATCACTTGAATCCAGGAAGCAGATGATGCGGTGAAATTGCTTCAAAAAAAAAATAATTATTACTGATGATTTTCCAGAATTAAAGAAAGAAAACCCGATTAATCATCAGATCAGTATAATGCAAATACTAAGCAGAATAAATACAAATAAAACCAAGCTTGAACATACTGAAGTGAAATGTTGAAATCAAGGGTAAAGAGACAGTCTTAAAATTCATCAGTGAGAAAAGACAAACAACCTAAAAGAGTGTGACAATTGTATTGACAGCAGATTCCTTGTTAGCAAAAGTAGATATAAGAAGTTAATGAAATATTTTAAAAGTGCAGAGAGATGGTCATCCAAGATGTTAACATAAGGACAAATATGGATGAGGAGTACACAAAAACTCTGTATTATCTTCTCTACTTTTCTGTAAAGCTAAAATAATTCCCTTTAAAATGTTTATTTTTTGTAATGTAGTGAAAGGAAAAAGAAACAGTTAAGCTAGAATTTTATAGCCAGCTAATCCATCTGCCAAAGACATGAAAATAATTATATGAGAATATAGAAAAGCAAGAAGTGCCTCAAACACAGTGAAAAGTTGTAAGATTACAAAAAAAATGACTAGCCTGGAAACTGATTCCTGTCTTCCTTTCTTCCTCCTTCCTTCATGAATAATTCAGTCCAAACTCAATTAGGTAGGGCCAAGCAAGGTAGGTATCTGCAGGCTGTGGGGAGAAAAGTAGAAGCAGCAACTCAGCATGGGGTATCAAAGCTAGAACAAAATGAGATCATCTGTGCACCCATTTAGCACCACGCTAAATCTGAACAACCCAAATTTAGCATGGGTTGTCCAAGCTAAATCAAAGGAAGAGAGTGTCTACTCAGGAGAGAGGTGGTCATAGCCTGGCACAAAATGTCAAAAGCCAAGTAGAGTGAGATCATCTGTGCAGGGGGAACAGTGGTGGGGGAAGAAATGCTAATGGGAGCATTTCAGAGTTTGGATTTTTGGATTCGGAAAGCTCAAGCAGTAAGTATAATGCAAATATTCCAAAATCAAAAAAAAAATGAAAAAAATTAAAACAAAATACTTCTCAGTCCCAAGCATTTCAGATAAGAGATACTCAATCTGTAATAAATAAATATGTTGAGAATAATAAAAGCCAGGTTTTCACTTCAAAGATGAGTTATAAATAAAAGTAGAAAAATGGAATGAACTCAATGATGTTGGCTTGGAATTGGAAGCATGGGTGGGAACTCATGGTTTCCAATATGTGTATGCAGGTATATTGTATACAGAACTTTGTCAATTCAGAGAGGCTAAGAGGATCAACACCCAAAAGGTTTGAGCACACCTAGCGCCCAGATCTCCATTTCTGAATATCATTATTTGCTAAAAAAGAATCAGGGTTTCTTGGGAAAATGCCTGTTTCCAAAGATGGCAGGGGGGAAGCTCAGAACATTGGTTTAGTCTACATTTAAGAAGTGATCAAAAAGTAGTGAGAAGGGCAGGCTAAAGAATGAAGTTAGATTCTTACTTCACCCCATTTTCAAAAAATTAACTTAAATTGGATCAAAGATCAAAATGTATGCACTAAAACTTTAAAACTCAGCTGGGCACACTGGCTCATTCCTGTAATCCCAGCACTTTGGGAGCCCACGGCAGGCACATCACGAGGTCAGGAGATCAAGACCATTCTGGATAACACGGTGAAACCCCATCTCTACTAAAAATATAAAAAATTAGCCGGGTTTGGTGGCGCACACCTATAGTCCCAGCTACTCGGGAGGCCGAGGCAGGAGAATCACTTGAACCCAGGAGGCAGAGGTTGCAGTGAGCTGAGATCAGGCCATTGTGCTCCAGCCTAGGTGACAGAGCTAGATTCAGTCTAAAAAAATAAATTAATAAAAATAAAATTATAAAAGGACACAAAAAAGTAAATCCTCATGACTGGATTTGTCGATGGTTTCTAAGATATGACACCAAAACCACAGCAACAAAAGAAAAAATAGATAAATTGGACTTCATCAAAATTTAAAATGTTTTGTGCATCAAAGAGAGAATCAAGAGTGAAAATACAACCTTCAGAACAGGACAAAATATTTGCAAGCTATCTATCTGACAAGGATCTAGTATCCAGAATACATAAGGAATTCATGCGATTGAACAACAGAAAAAGAAACAACTCTATTTAAAATGAGTTGAGTATTCATTTCTTCAAAGATATATAAATGGCCAAAAAGCACATGAAAACAGTTTCAACATCTTTAGTTATTAGAGAAATGCAAATCAAAATCACAATGAGATACCACTTCACACTCACTAGGATAGCAAATAAAGATGGGGGGTGAGAATCAGTGTTTGTGAGGAAGTGAAGACATTGGATTGGAACCCTCATATATTGCTGGTGGGAATGTAAAATAGTGCAGCCACTGTGGAAAACAGTTTGGATGTTCCTCAATGGGTTAAACATAGAATTATCATATGATCCAGCAATCCCACTCCTAGGTATATACCTAAAATAATTGGAAACAGCATTCAAACAAAAACGTGTATGAATTTTTATAGCAGCACTATCCACAATAGCCAAAAGATGGAAACAGCCAAAATATCCATCAATAGATGAATGGATAAACAAATTGTGGCATATCCATGCAATGGAATATTATTGAACTATAAAAAGAAATGAAGTACTGGTACATACTACAGCATGGATGAACGCTGAAGGCATTACACTAAGTAAAGGAAAACACAAAAGACCATATATTGTATTACTCTAGTTATATGAAATATCCAGAATAGGCAAATCCATTGAGACAGAAAGCAGATTTGTGGTTGCCAGGAGGGCAGAAATGGGGAATGAATGCTTAATTATTAATAGTATGGGGTTTCCATCGGGGTGACAAAAATTTCTCAAAGTAGATATTAGTAGTGACGATTTCACAATATCATAAAGGCACTTAATGCCACTGAGCTGTCAAAATAGTTTAAATAACAAAACTTCTAATTAAAAAATAGAATGGTTATAATGGTAAATTTTATGTTATATGTATTTTGCCACAATGAAAAAAATTAAATGATCGAAATAAAATTATGGAGACATGTCAAAGTACATAGAAACCAGCTTGAAGCACTTCCCACTGGCCTGTCTGGGAAAATTTGAGTAGTAATAGAAATAGACCCATTGAATAAAATAGAAATCCATGAAATTCAATATAAGAGTCCAAAAGAAGAAAGAGAAAAATTTTCCTTACAGTACAATTCAAAATAATCTTTGTAAAAGGAAAGATGAAACTCACCATTCGGTAAGCATCATAGTAAAAATTAATTCAACCAAGAAGCATCAATGGATAAGAGTCAATAAAAGTTTGATGAGGAAAGAAGTATACATAGTCTCAAAGCTTAGCAAAGTCTCTGAGGCACGGAAAAAGCCCCAGACCTTTCAAGCAAGGCATTTGCGCATCCCAATCACTAAGAGCATCTTCAATACAGGGAAGAACTCTCTATTTGGCTGAAAGTCTCACAAAACATTTTATAATTACGAAAGGAAACAGAATAACTTTATAGGAAAAATATTTGACAGACACCACCTTAATCAAGTGATGAAACTTAAGATCATCAGTAATGGGATAAAGCAAAATCATGTACCACCTGACAGGCTGCAGTGGGAACATAGCATCTCTGCCATCATCAGTTCATCAGGTGTATGAACTTGGGCAAATAATTCACCTCTTTAGACTTCTGTTCCTTCGTCTGAAAAAGTAATTAAGTAGAATAGATAATATCTAACATCCTCTCCAGCTCTAAATTTCTACTATACTAATACTTATTAAACTCATCTAAATATATGTCTTCATGTTCAGAACTTGGCAGGGGGAGGTAGAAAGCTTTCTCTCAGCTTAAGAGGTTGATGTTCTTATATAAGCAAATTAGGTGGAAATTGCACAAAATGACATACACAGTAAAACTTTCAAACTTGAGTAGTTTAAATGGCAACCAAAAAAAAAATCCCTAATTTCATAGGGACTATTGGAAAAGTCAAAATTTAAGAGTTTTAAAAGCAATAATAATTATTTCTTTCAAAGGAATACCTGTGTTTAAACTAGGGAAGGAAAACAATTCAATGGAAATGAGTGCTTACATAAACAAGTGCTTGAAATGATTTTCTTCCCTTAAGAAAGGTGAACGGGGCTACTCCAACTGGTCGACCCCATTAAGAAGCTTAGCAAAGTCTCTGAGGCGTGAAAAAAGCCCCAGACTTTTCAAGCAAGGCACTCACATCCCAATCACTAAGAGCATCTTTGATACAGGAATAACTCTCTACTTGGCTGAAAGTCATTGCTTTCTGAAGGGTAAGATTAATGTCATTTAGTTAAGCAGGAGAGAATGGTTCTGTAAAATAACTCAAGCCCTTACAGGGCAATTCAAATGATCAACAACCTCATAAATAAATGCAGTCATATCAATATTCAACTGGCAAACCATCAAAATGTGAAGTCTGAACCAATCTTGTACAATTTGGCTTCAGCTATCAGCTTTTACACAAACAGAAACACATTCATTGGTTAATTAGTAATCTTTTAAGGTTTGAAGAGCCAACTCACTATAATTATTTTTACTAAATTTTTATTATCCCTTCCACATACAGAGCAAAGTATATAAATTGAAACTATCAGAGTTTGAATGGTTCTGGCAAACAATGAGTTATTAACTCATGGGTTTTTTTTTAATTATTCTTATTATTCACACACTAAAAACATAAACTAATTATAGTGCACTTGGGCCTCTTTCCTCTCTGTCATCACCTATATCCAATCCAGTCACAACATTATGCCAGCTCTTCCTTCTCAAGTGTTTCTAGAATCCAATCCTCCACTCCCACAGCCACCCTTCTAGACCAGGCCCTCATCACATCAAGCGTGGTTTAGTACAACAGACTTCTACATACAGCATCTACTATGGCTTGTCAGGTCTTTCAAAATCCACTAATCAATCTGACATAAGAACTATCTCTCCACCTTTGTATCACTGCAAATCTGACCAAATTTTTTCTACTCAGAATATTTTTAACCAAGTTCATGGGACAGATGAAAGACTTGAGGTACTCTCCTACAGATCTTCAAGTTTCCACCAATTCATTCTTTGACACTACTTTGGAACACACAGTTCTAACCCACCTGCCTGCCCTACTATCCAACCCACATTCTTCCATATCCTGTTCTTCCATTATAAATTATTCTGTCAAATTATTTGCTAAAACCTCAATAACCTACATCTTCAGAATACTCCCCTGTAATAACTTCTGGGTCTCATTCGCAGGTACCCTCTCATCTGCCAGCCCTCCAAAAGATGGAGTGCTTTAGACTCAGGACTCAGCAGTCTTCTCCTTTCTATTTTCATCCCATCCCTAGATGAGCTCATCCAGTCCCATAAATATCTTTATACTGACAACTCCCAAATTTACATCTCCAGGCTTGCTCTCTTTCCTGAGCTCCAGACTCAAATATCCAACTGTACACTCAGAATTTTTCCCGGGCATGTCAAACACAACATAGCCAAAGATTTCCACATCTGAGTACATGGGGAACTATCCACTCAATTAATTAAAAAGTTTGGATTCACTTTTTGCCCTTCCATTCACTTATCTCCCAACATCCAATCCAACAACATATCACTCTATCTCTCCAAAATATATCCCAAATTCAACCTATTGCTGTTACCATAGTC